GACACGGTCCACTACACTCTCAACGGGACCCCGAAAAGACCGCGTCCTTGTCCGCCCGCACTTCACGCAGGACATCCAGGAAGGGGACCACGTGCGGGTCCCCACTACGCACGTAGAACCTGGCAGTTCCTCCATTGGGCCAAACCTGCCCGGTCCAATGAAGGAACCTTGGCCCAGCGCTGGGGGCTATAAATACCCTATGTTCCCAGAGGGTCAGGTATTCATTCTATCACATATACTCACACTTTGCCTGCTCGTGCTCTTACTTACTTCAGCATCGGAGTGCCTTGCAGTTAACCCCCCCCCCCCCCCCCACCTCATTCAAAACTTCAGCTCGGAGCTAGCCGTGACGGTCCAAGTCTGATCAGGTTAAATCAGTAGCGTATTAAGCGTTGATAGTCATGAAATAGACGACAAATATTTGATTAAGGACGGTGACTAATATCCTCAAATTTAACGCTAAAATATCCCCTCAGTTTTTAGGAACACTGAGGTGCAAGATTTTTTTTTAAAGTTATATTGTTTACAAAGAATATTAAAACACAATATTACAACAAATTCCCACTTCTGATTTAGGCTTAGTGAAATTAACAAAAACATATCCTTTATTCTGCCCATATCTGCAAATTAATAGTAAACCATACACAATCATCATTATTTTTAAAGTATGAACATTGAATGCTCTAGAGAAGGAATTTGATAGCGTACCTGAATTTGATAGACAAGATTAAAGGAGAAAGTGCTTTTAACAATAGATCTTTGGTGGAATCCAAATTTTGTTGCATACTGTTGTACCCTAATTTTTTACTTAAAATCCCACCTCTATTTTACGTCATTTGCATGCAACGAGATCGCAAAGTTTGTTCTCTCTAAGCACAATCATTTTGTATTTTCTTTTTTAGTTTAATTGTTTAATTATTATTATTATTATTATTATCATTATTATTATTATTATTATTATTATTATTATTATTTCTTGTCTTTTATGAAAATGAAAAGAAGAAAGAATGGCAATTGGGATGGGGAACACTTTGAAACTAGACATATTTTTGCACTTATTTACATAAATATTGAAAAACCAGTACAAGAACTAAACATTGTCTTGTTTCTATCGTACAAAACCTGTCCACACTAGTCTAACAGTTTCACCAAAATGTACCAAGCAAAAACCTGTACGAGAAAGTGATGAAATAGGATATCAAATTTGTTAAAAAAAACTTATCAAGTTTCCCTCTAAAACTTCAATCTTCTAATATATATAATCCATCATCAAAAACACTTGAGGGTGGAGAAAAAAAAGATTAGAAAGATAATAAAATTATGCAAAAAATTTAGCAGCTGACTTCCTCCAAATAACTCATGAATCTGGCACCCTCTAGCCTATAGATAAAGGCTTATTCCTTCACATTTTCAAATCTAGAAAACGTGAGCTCCTTATCTCACTCCTCACTCTCTCTCTAAAAATATTTCTTCACTTTCTCTCACGTGAAATTAGTTGTAACGCTTCGAGAAAGTTTTTGTGTTTGGTGAGAAATTTTGTATTATGAAAAGGCAATTATTGTAAATTCACCACTTAGTGTTTTTTCTCTTGGTTGAATAATTTATCCTTAAGGGAGTATTTGTTTGGGTTAAAAGTTAAACCCTTTAAAAGCTTTGGTTTGGAGAATTAGTTTATAAGTTGTCAGTTCAGTTTGTAAGCTCAGTCTGGTTAAAAGCATACATCGATTCGAGATCAACCCGATTCAAAATATTAATTGAGTTAGTGAATTCATCCCAGGTTAAAGGGTCACTTTAGTTCGAGATAAGCATGCTTAAAACCCTGGCCAACTTTGTTCGTGGTCATTTTGGTCAAAACCCTGGTTCGATTCGTGATATTAGTTATGTTTAAAAGTTCAGCTTGGTTCGAGATAAGTCTGTAGAAAATCTCGATTTAGCTTTGAGACTAACCACTTCAAGTTCTTGTTTGGAAGGAAGACAAACAACTTCTCTCAACAAGTTTGTGTTTGGAAGGAAGACTAATCGCTTAACTTTATTTTTCGTTGTTTGGTTGGAAGTTAGCCTAAAACTTTATTTTTTCCTTGTATAAGGGGGTTCAAGAGTTTATCCTGTTAAAATCTCTTAAGCATTACTGGATACTCTCAAGATCAAATCTTGGGGACAAGATTAAGTCTTCTTGACTGAACCTATATAAATCTCTAGTGTCATTTCTCTTACCTTTAACTCTTTACTTTTAGTTGCAAATTGTTAAAAGCATTTAAAAATGGTTTTAAATTCTAAAAAAGATAACAAAATATTTTCAAACTATCATTTTTATAAAACCCACAATTCACCCACTCCACCCCACCCCTCCCAATTGTGTGTGGAGTCACATGTTCAACATGCACATGAAGTTAAATGTACACTTTTTTGAACTCATAATTTCACTACCCTTATCTTGGACTTTGTAACTAACTTGGGTGTTGGAGCACTAACTTTGCAAGTTCATTCCTGCCCCACTGTATCGGAGATCAACATCACAACATTTGAGTCCACTATCATCAATCCAACATAATTATGGTTCCATTATGGTATATAATTCATTCTCATGTTTATTTTTAAGTGTCCAACATTCTGTCTATACAACATCGCATGTCTTATCGCAATCTGATAAAAAAATTCTTCAACTTGAGTGATACATATGTGTCACATAAAATCTCTGAAGCCCTTCTCCATTTCAGTCACCCTACTTAAATTCGATGGTTTATATTTCATTCTATTTATTCATTATTTTATATTACGAACTCAAGATATTTAAAGCATGTGACTTGAAGAATGATACGGTCTCCAACTTTTATCTCTAGGCTAAAAACGCTTCTCCTTTTGGTGAACTTACATTCCACATACTATGTCTTACTTCTACTTAGGTGAAAGCCATGTATTTTTAAAACTCGTCTCCAAGCCTCCAACATGTTATTTAAATCCTCCTTCGACTCTCTAAGTAGGACTATATCATATGCCGAAACCATGCATCTCGGTGCTAACTCTTGGATGTGTTATGTGAGTATATCCTAAATTAAAGTAAAAGGTAGAGACTTATAGTTAAACCTTAATGCAAACCTATTGTAATGGGAAAATCGCCCACCTCTCCATCATCTGTTTGTATACTACTCGATATCCCCTTCATATACATTTTGGTTAGCTCAGATATATGCAATTATAACCCCTTTCTTTTCTAGAGTTTTTCAGAAAATCTCTTTAGACAATCTATCATACGCCTTCTCTAAGTCAATAAAAATTATGTGCAAGCTTTGTTAGTTCATCATATGTTGCTTCAACACACGTCGTAGTAGATAAATTACTTCCATGGTTGACCTCCAAGTCATAAAGTTGTATGTTCATCCATTAGTTTTTTTGACTTAATATTATTTTTGGTCATATGTATGTTAACATCGGGAATCATTTTGATCCATTAACTTAAAAAAATTTATATTGATCCCTCAACTCTTTAAAATGTGTCATGTTAGTCTTTTTCGTCTAATTAGTGACGAAAAAATTTATAAATTGATTGATAAATTCGTTACTAATTATATGTAAGTGATTAACATGACACGTTTTGAATAGTTAAGATATCAATATAATCTTCTTAAAATTAAAAGATCAAAATAAACTTCAATATTTACGCACGAAACCAAAAAAATATTAAACATTTTTATAAAAAAAATAAAAATGAATCACTCAGTTGTATGTGAGATGCATAAATTTTTTTAGTCACTACTCCCTCCATCTTAATTTATAAGTTATTTTGAGCATTTCATACAAATTAAGTTTTTTGAAAAAGAGAGATTATCTATAATTTACAATACTTTTCTTCTATAATTACTAGAAAAAAATAATTAAAAAAATCAACTGGATACAAAAAGGTGGATATTGTTGTGTTATATCTATAATTTAAATTTAAATTCTGAATTTCTGCACCTGTTTATTATAATTTTCAGAACCCATCCGAAATCCGCTTTGACACCAACAAGAAAGCCTTATTTTGATCAGGGACTTACATTTTTCCCAATCTAGGGTAGAGATGTGGTGGGGCATGAGCGGGAAATCGACTTTCACATGAGGTAGGGAGCCTATCCAAATTTCAACTCCGATGAAAATCTGATGTGGGGTGGGGTACAATTTGCCGGAGATGTGGCCTGCTGCCATGCCTACTCTTTGTGTTATTCTCTTTCTTCTTTGGACAAGGATTCTCAGTTGTAGGGGAGTCAATCACATACGTCAATTTAAAATCAATCGACTCAACTCGCATTTACAAAATCAGTTTTAAAAAAATCGGACCATTGATTGAGATCGTATTGTCGAAAGCAATGAATATGTCATTCAGGTACTGCAACATATGTGTTCCCTCTTCCTGAGAGAGACAGAAACCTTTCCTCTCCAAGATCATTGACACAGTTCAACTACTAAAATATAAATAGTTGGGTGATGGATATTGTGTAATAACAACAACTGAAAAAATCGCAATAGAAAACGGATACAAACAAATGGAAGAAAGATGAAAGATATATAAGATTTCAGTTTCAACATGCATCTTATCTATAACTTCCAAAACTATCACATTGTATAAGCTACAAAAGAAACACCTTTCTGAGTAACCTTAAAGATTAATAATTAACAAAACCACACAAACAACGATAAATTCCAATATAAACAAAATGAAGAAACAAAATCTAGAATGTGGTATGAAATCAAATAACATGCTTACATGAAGCAGCATTCAGGCTGAGAACTACTTCAGCTTTTCATAAGCCATACCAATCTTCACAAGATTAAAATAATTTTTCATTATTCCTGAGAAGAGTCCTTGACGGCGAATCATGGAAGCACTCGAGATAGAGAGCTTGCGATAGAAACCTCGGATAAACCAGCAGCAGCACTTAACGACCTGAACACTCCAGTGAAAAAAATTAAAAGAATCTTTTGTCCTAGCTTCTAATAAGTTGCAAAAAACCTTCACTCCACCATCACTGAGATCTCCTTCTCGTGTGCTGCGAAACAGGAATCCCTTCGAAAAAATCCAAAACAGCATCCTCCAGATCCTCGACGGAATACTTAATGTAATTCTCCGGATGTCTTCCGCTCTCTATATGACTCCTGAACCGTCCAAGGAACGATCTATAAGCAGGAAGCAGCTTCTCTGATATAGATATCCGAAGCTCCTCCCTAAGTTGTGAATCCGGTATCAACCAAACAGCTTGAGTCCTATGTACCTCCTCAAACATAGCATTAAAAGCCTTAAACCTTTCCCTCAAGGCACTTTTCGACACGCCAGAAGAAAACCCACCACTCCCGTGTAACCCTTCATCTCGCAAACAATACAAAACCCTAACCCACGTCGCTCTCTGATAGCTAGTAGCCGCCTGTCGAAATTTCCCAGTCAACTTCCTCAAATAATCGTCCCCAATCATTTCCCTCAACTCCGGGGACCCTCTAACTTTCTGAACAATATAGTGAACATTGTTCATAATAAACAAATGACTCAAAGAAGCATCCTTATAATGCTTTGACTTCCCATCTAAATTGAATTGCAATATAACAATAATCCAAATCAAATGAATAGCCAAAGGAGGTTTCCCTTCAAGTTCATCAAAATCCGTATCAGGATTCGAAGGATCATAAGAACCCGTGGAAGGCTTCGAAACAATAAGCTCATACAAAGTCTGCTTATAATCGGAAATCAAGCTTATGTAATTCATCACATACCTAGTCAAAGGATGAATCGTCCCACCCGGAACCGGAACCTTAGAAGGCTCTTTCAAAACAGCATTTTCAAATTCAGACAAAATCCCTCTAGCAGCCTCTGCTAACCGCGACAAAATCTCCGCGGCCTGAACCCGAATCGACTCAGACGACTTGGAATCAAAAACAACATCAACATCAGGTATCAAATCCATCAAAGCATCATGCAGGTCAAGAATCTTAAACAATTTCTCGGGCGACCTACGACTAATACTAATCGCTTCAGCGAAATTGAAAAGCTGAATTGCAGGACCTTTAACAGTTTCCATAAAACAAGCATCATCAATAGAACTACCAATCCCTTCAAAAATCTGTTCACATAGTCTCTTCTCGCTGGCGAAAAGCGTTCGAACACAAACCTTGGCAGCTCGAATCCATCTCCGAATCTTCGTCTCGAGCTGCTCCCAATCCAATCTCTGAACATCACCTATGCTTAGTTTCTCAACTCCGAGTTTCTTGAAATTCAAATCCACAGCCGATTTTCTCACACTTCCGTAAACTTGAATACATTCGCGAAGATAACCGGAGGAAATCATTCTATCGGCGATGCATCGGAGATCGGAGACAGCTTCGGTAGGTATCAGATCGATCTCACGGATGCTGCTGGTAGAACGGTAGCTTGAAGAAGTGGCAGTAGTTGCGACAGAGCAAGTACTATCAAAACGCAGAAGCTTATCGTCGTTTTGATCATCGTCGTCTTCGTTATCGTCTTCGTCGTTTTTGAAGTCCTGATGTCGTTTTATTGATGAAGAGAAGGAAGAGTCTTCATCTAAGGGAGTATCGATTGAGTTTGTATTTGAGATAAGGATGTTACGAAACTCGTCTTCCAAGCGAGCCATGGCGATCTGGATGGTGGAGGAGGGATTGGAGTGGTGGCTATCGGAGAGAGAGGCGGAGGATATGGAGCGTTGGATTTCATCCACGGCTTGGAGGTAAAGATCGATTTCGTCGCGGTTGGTTGTGTGATCGAAGATCATTTTTTCCCGAGCTTCTTCGGAGGCGGTGGAGTCCCATCGGAGGATGATTTTTTGGGCGGTTTCTAAGGGGAGATTCTCCGGCGAGGACATTATTGGGAGGGGGTGTTGAAAAAAAAGAGAGAGGTGAAAGTAGTAACAACTGTGTAAGAGAGAGAGAGAGAGAGAGAGAGAGTTGATATTTTGGCTTTTGTTTGAAATGAAAGTGGAAAAATGAGAGACTGCGGAAAGGTTGGCGTATTTTGTCTGAATTGGATTTAGAGAATCTATTTACTGTATCTAAATCATTGTATGTGTTGTGTTGTGTTGGTTAAATAACAAGATTTAGATAAATTTTTAGGTAATGTTTAAGTGATTTATGTAACTTAAAAGTTTTTTATTCTAATTTAGTGATTTTTAATTCTTCAACTGAAATTATATGTAAATTTAAATTAATATCTGATCACTCTCCTCAACTAATGACTTTATTGAATCATTATGTGTGGTTTGTAATAAATTTAAAAAATATTTATTTTATTAAATTGAAAACATATGATTGTGTGTGACTTGTCTACGAAATTTAATTTAATAATAATTTTTTGGATAAATTTAATATAAATTATTTATTTATTTATTTATTTAATAAACAATTTGACAAGACATGTAATTGATTAAAAAAATTAAATATTTAATTAGAAATTTTGTCCATTCGATTTTTAATCTGATTTTTAAATATTGATTTAAGTCATTGAAATTATGTGAATGGGTTGAACTTAACCTTGAGAGGCAAGTGATGATGGAGATTGCATGTTGATTAGGATTGGTTGTGGTATAGAGTTCTAGCAAGAAAATATGGAGTATAAGGAAGGGCATTAAAGAGGGAGATAGTTAGGAGTGTGTGGAGCGGAAATATAACTATGTTGATGGCTAGATGACAACTTGTCTCGTTCGACAGGCAACGATGAAGAGACATCATTTTGGAAGGATCCTTAACTAAAGGAAATCATTATGCGTGTTAGGATTCGTTGAATTTTTTATTGGAGGATGACAAAAATATTTATTGTGTGGAGATGAAAGTGTTGAGATGAGTGTGGGGGTTTAGGTTGGAGATGTCAGAGTAGAGTTTTTGCTTGGGAGAAGGATTGTGTGACAAAGTGTTGTTATTTTCTAGTTTGATACTGTTCTGTAGGATAGTATTATAGATCATTGGGAGTAGATTCATGATAATGATGTTGACTACTCAGTAAAATATGAATACCATATTCTAATCTATGAATACCAACTTTATCCTGAACTAAACTGAAAACTCATTTGGAACAAAATTACACTGCTTAATGTATCTTTGATTGCATGGAAGCTGATCAATAATAGGACCCCAACAAAAGACAAACATGAAAGACAGAAAATAATACCTTCACGTCTAAGAGGGTGCACACGTGGATGCAGAATAGATGAGAATTGTCAACATGTATTCTAGAAGGGTGAGTTTTATGGTCAGATCTAAAGTTGTGTTTGGAAATAGATGGGGATCCTTTACGTTCATCAAAATGACATTGATATTCATGCCATTTAATTTTATAGATATCATTCTTTTAGTAAATAGACATATGCATACTTTCAAATCATCTAGGTGATAAGTACCTAAAAGGAAATAAATTTGAGGATTTTCTACAATACATGATAATGTTAGAGTAAAGAAGTTGTTATTCATTAGTTCATAATATTTCAGCTTGCTTATTACACCATGAAACAATTACTTATATAGCAAGTAACTTATCAACTTAACTAACTAACTTCAAGTTAGTTAAACTATTTGTTTAACAGCTTCTAACACACTCCCCTAATATGAAAATACAACAAATTACATATTATTATAAGATACAATCAATAGAATAAGCAGGCTAACAATACTACTTAAAGACACCAACTCCAAGTTCTGCTCTTATGTAGTTGAAAGTCTCAAGCTTCACTTGTTTTGTCAGGACATTTGCAATTTGCTCTCCCGTGCTACGGTGCTTTATTTATATTGTGCCATTCTTAGCTAAGTCTCTAAGAAAATTGAATTTCACATCTATGTGATTACATCTTCCATGCATGACAAGATTCTTGTACAGCTTAATGGTGGAATTGTTATCACATAGAATGAATGTGCCTTGATTCTGAGTTTGGCCAAGCTGATGCAAAATACTCCTAAGCCAAACTGCCTGACAAGCACATGATGTTGTTGCCACAAATTCAACTTGTGTGCTTGATAGAGTCACAATGGGATGCTTCTTTGAAGACCACGATATGGAGCCTGATCCAAGTTTAAACACATAACTTGTAGTACTTTTCTGTCATCACTATCTCCAGCATAATCTGAGTCTGACCATCCTTGCAATATTGGATCATCATTCATCTTGTACAACACCTATAAGTTTGTAGTTCCCTTCAAGTACCTTAAAATTCTCTTTGTAGCAGCCAAGTGTATTTCAGTTGGTATCTTCATATACCTAGTTACCAAGCACACTAAATATGCAAGATCATGTCTGGTAGCCAGTAAGTACATCAAACTTCCCCACCATCTTCTTGTAACTAGTTGCATCAACTGGTCTTCCATTTTCATCCTTAGTCAACCTGCATCCAGACACAATAGGATTACACACTTTATTGCATTCGTCCATGCCAAAACTTGTAAGCACTTTATTGGCATTCTTCTACTGAAAGATGAAAGTTCCTTATCTTTCTTGCTTTACTTCCACCCCCAAGAAAGTATCTTATTTTTCTTATATTTGTCATAGCAAACATCTTCCTCATTGACTCCTTGAAACCTTCCATCATTTATTGATTATTTCCTGAATATATCATATCATCTACATACAAGCTGACAATTAATATTTGTTCTTCATTGTACTTCACAAATAGTGTATGCTCATGAGGGCATTTCTCAAGATTCTCTTGATTGAAGTAAACTTTAATTTTGTTATACCAAGCCCTTGGAGCTTGCCTCGGGCCATACATGGAATTTCTCATTTTGTAGACTCTACCTTCACCTTCTTTCTTATAGCCAAGAGGTTGGTCTATGTAAACATCCTCCACCAGGTCCCCATGAAGAAAAGCATTATTAACATCAAGCTGATACACATGTCACCCCTTACATGCTGCAATTGCTAGAATAGTTCTAATGGTATCCTATCTTGCTACAGGAGCAAAAACTTCATTATAATCCATGTCATGTTATTGTGAGTATCCTTTTTCCACAAGCCTTGCTTTTTATTTCTCTATTCACCTTTTTCATTGAACTTTATTTTGTATATCCATTTAACAACAACTATCTTGTCTCCTGCTGGTAGATTTTACTAGGCTACAGATATCATTCTTCTCAATGCTCTCAATTTCCTGGTCCATGGCATTCCTCCATTTTTCTTCTATGACTATTTCATCATAGTTGAGAGGATTATTGTTGCTGCAAAATACTACTAAGTTGCGCATATATTCATTTTCCTTCCTTTCTACATTTGTGACATAATCATCCAAGTATCCAGGCCTTCTCCTTTGCCTTGTTGCTGGCTCTGTATGATTTTGCCTATGATTATTGCTTTCTTCTTCAGTCTCACTATCCACACTTGCACTTTCTCCATTACTTCCCTCATGTTGAGAGACATCATCTTTTACATGTGCTTCATCATTGATTGCTTCAACTTCTTCATTCTCCATGTCTACAACTTCATTTTTGTCTTCTTTGTCATGCTTGTTCCATTCCCGCCCTTTTGATTCTTCAAACACTACATCCTTGCTGATCAAGATCTTTTTGCTCACAGGATCATAGAGCCTATAGGCCTTTGATTCATCACTGACTCCCAGGCAAACACACTTTATACTCTTATCATCCAATTTTTTCATGTGTATGTCACGAATATGGACATAGGCTATGCATCCAAACACCTTGAAGTTATGCACTGAGGTATTTTCACCATTCCATGCTTCTTCACGGGTCATGTTCTTCATAAACAATGTTGGACTTCTATTAATCACATATGCTTCTGTTGTACCCCAAAATTTTCCCTCTCATATTTCTCAAAACATTGCAAGAATAATCTCCAAGTTGCTCAAAGATTGCTCAAGAGTTGGACAGTCAAATCATCTCCTAAGACAGTCAACCTCAAATTAGGGTTTTGTGTTGCATCAAGGTCCTTGCATCCAAATGACTTCAAGTTCTCCCCAATGTCCTAATATGCTCTCAAGATCATCCATGTCAAATTTCAAGCCTTGCAGAGGAAGTTTGGTCAGTCAATTGCTCAAGAGGTCCAAAAATCGACTATGCTAGGGCAAAAGTCAACTGTGACCTATAAACAGTCAAACTTAGAGATTTTTTGTCAACATTCTCATTTTGAAGGATATTTCATCATTTGATCAAGGGTTGATCATGATTCATCAAGGATTGCTCAAAATTCATCAAGACTCAAAAGTTGCTAAATTAGGGTTTTGTAGGAAAAGTTAACTCAGCTTTGACCAAGCATAACTTTCTCATACTTTATGAGAAATGACCCATCCAAGGCTTATTTTGAATAGGAAGCAATTTCCTACAATCCATCTTCACACCCCAAGATCAAGAAATGCACTCACAAAAAGTTAAAAATTTGGACATTATAGGTCATTTTTGAAAGTCAACAAAAACACCTTTTTTTCCAAAGCTTATAACTTGAGCATGGAATATCAAAATGAGATGAGACCAAAAGCGTTGGTTAGAGGACATCTCAATCTTTCTAAAAAGTCTAAGAACCCTTCCAAAAGTTCAAAATTGAAGAAGTTATGCATTGTTGAAGTTGGGAATTTTTACAAAATTGCTAAAAGTCAACTATCCCCAAAACTTCAAATTTTGTCAAATGGGCCCATTCCTTTCCACTTGATTTGATCTTGTCGCACTACACACGTGCCCTAGCTTCATCCTTGTGTCCATTTATTAATTTTTCTATTTTATTTGATTTTTTATTGAATTAATTCATTTTAAATCAATTTAAATCCAATAAAATCCAAATATTGATTACTTGATTTACTTTTGGCTATTTCAGGACCTAATCATCATCATCAATTGAATCAAATTCGTATCAAGCTTTTCATGTACAAAAATATTG